CCCGCCCGCCCTGCCGGACCAGTCCAGCCCCAGGGCTGACTCAGCAGGGAGGCGGTTGCCGGAGAGGTGTCACCAGGCCTCCTCCTGGGCCCAGGTGCCCTTGCCGGTCTACGCTGCCCCCGTCTCCTGGACCCCAGCGCCTCGGAGACCCCGGCTCTGCTCCCCTGGGACAGTCTTGGCCAGGCCCCCACCGCAGGAGGCCAGATGGAAGCACACCTCTGCCCAGAGCCCAGTGCTCCCTTCGCCCCACGACGCCCACTCCTGTCTCGGGCACGTGCACTTGCCCTCCCTGCTCCAGCCCTGGACCCTCCAGGGCCCAGGTGGCCGGCACCAGCAGCCCTGGCCCGGTGCTGTGTGCTCTCAGCTCTCTTGGGCTGACGGAGGGGTGGGGACTCAGACCTCCCCAGACACACTGGGCAGGAAGGGAGGCTCAGGCTGGAAATGTGCCCCACCGCCAGGTCAGGACCACTGGGACCTGTAGGGGCACTGGCCGGAAAGGTCGGGGCGCCCCTCACACCCAGACCCTGAGCTGGTTCCAGTCCTACAGGCTCGCACCTGCCTCTGAGCAAGGCCTGCCCACCTGCTCTACTCCCAGGGACTCCACTTGCCTGACCCCGGCTTCACGTGGCCAGGCCTGGGAGGCAGGCAGGTCCTGAGATCCCACTGTCCCGCCCCAGCCCACTGAGTCCACTGCCTGGGCAGCTGCAGCCCAGCGCCACCCAGCCCTCGGGCTCCGGAGCAGAGTCACGGGAGCTCGGCTGTGGGCAGGGGAGGGCAGGGCTGGGGCAGCTGATAGTGAATCAGCTGGCAAGAGGGCCAGGCCTGAGCGAGGCATTCTCAGGGGATGTGTCACACGGAGCCCTCGGGTGCTGGCGAGACCTGGGAGCAAGGCCTGCTGGGAAGGGGGCCGCCCCTGAGGGTCCCACAGTCTGTTGCCTGCCTGGGGACACCGTCTTTCTCCCACCCTTGAAGGCAGGGCTGAGGAGCCGTGTGGGGGTGAGGCAGAGCACCCAGAGCCCACAGTCTGGACCCAAACACACCATTAGACAGCAGACACTGGGCCTGAGCCAGCCCGTCCACCCATGGTGCCCAGGGTAGGCGAGGCCCAGGTGAGGGCCCCACCAGGGTCCTGTCCCCAGCCCACTCCTCTCTGAGCTCGGCTGTGGACACCAACCTGTGGCACCATGTCCAGGCAGGAGCACGGCTGGCAGACACTTTCTTCCCTGGACTTAGCAGCTCCGCCACAGGCCCATCATCACCCCTGGGTGATGGGCCTGCCCAAGGCCACTCCTCACAGACACTCGGGGTCAGCAGGGTCTCCTCCGCTTCCAGCTCAAGGGCCGTGGAGAAGCGGGCACCGGGGAAGTGCCACCTCCCACCTCACCCCACTTCACCTTCCAGCTCCTGGGCCCAGGTCCATTTTTCCATTTTCAAAATGCTTCTGACTATTAAATATGCATCCCGGTGAAGCAGGCCTTTGGCTCGCGGCCTCTGTGGCTTCCAAAAAAAAAAAAAAAAAAACCGAAGGGAAGGCTGGAGGGGCAGGCAGGGCAGGCAGAGATGCCCTGAAGGCTCCGACCTGACCCTTGGCCAAAATACCCAGCAGCCTTGGAGTGGGGAGGAGGGTCTGGGGAGGCAGCCATTCTCACCACCTCCACACCCAGCCCCTCCGGGCTCATCCCAGCTCCCTGCCCTCAGTCCTCAGCTCTCGGTCTTCTCCACCAGCCTCAGCCTTTCCCACAGGACCCGCCCTGACACCCTTTGGAGCTTCCTCATGCCCCCAAAACAGCCCTCCCTTCTGACAGTCTGTACCCTCCCCTCTCAATCCCCACCCCACCCCCAACCCACCTGGTAGGCCGCTTGCTGCCCCCCAGCTGACACCCTCCCCGGGCCTCTTGTAAGTGCTGCCATCCCCATCAGACAACCCTTCCTCCAGGGAGTCCTCCCTGATTCCTCCACACACCCGAGATTGCGCTCACCGCCAAAGCTGATTGAAGCTGACCGACAATAGTGAATCCCTGCTCCCTGGGGCATGACCTCTCAAGTCCCAGGCCCCTTGGAATTCAGACAGATGGACGGGAGGGTATGGCACCCCCCGCATTAGCTCTGGGCTAATGGGTCAGCCTCCTCCTGGGCAGAGGGCCAAGCTGAGGAGATCTGGGTTTTTCACCCCTGAAGTGAAGGCAGGGCCCCCAGAGGGCCAGTGCCTCACCCCACCTGCCTAGGGGCCTCCTCTCTGGCACTTCCCCACCCCTGGGCTGAGCTGGAACACGGAGTTGGGGGGAGACGGGCGGGTCAGAGCCTGGGGAAGGGCTGGAGCGGGCCCAGCCGCCAGGAGCCTTCCTGGAAGAGGTACCTCCTCCCTGGGCCCAGGAGCAAAGAGCTTGGGCCGAAGGAGATGAGGCCGCCGGGGCCTTCCTGCCGCAGGCCCGGCCACCGCGGGCGCAGACCGGCGCTGCGCATGGGGTGACCCGCCTGTCCACTCCTGGACCCCACCCCAGCATGGGGGGCAGGAGCCAGGCTGTCCAGCCTCAGTTTCCCCACCAGGGAAAGACCTGGGGGTGCTGTCAGGAACGCAAGTGTGCTCACCAGCAGTGGCTTCGAGAACCACCTCACTGAGGTGTGGGAAGGAATGGCACCTGGGCCAGGGTGACCTCTGCTGCCTCCCCGCACCCCGTGCCCGCCCTGGCCAGGGACACTTCAGGACTCTGCCTCCCTGCCCCACCTCTGCTGTGGGCAGCTGTGGGCACTCCTGTTCACAGACATGACCTCCTGCCCACGTCTGCTTGCAGCCCAGCCCCGGAGCAGGGCTGTGCTGAGGCAGCCCACCTGGATATAGAGGGTGGGGCGTCACAGTACCCTCGGGAGGGGCTATGGCACTCCCATAGCCGCCCAGACCCCCTCTGGCACTGCTGCGTTGCACCTGGAGCCTCCCTGGCCCTGGTGGGCATTTCTCAGTGTGGCCAGTGGTCTCAGGCCAAGCCAGGGGCTCTCAAGTGTAAGACAGGGGCCGGGCCCGAGGTCAGGGAGTTCCCTAGCTGTACAGGCCCGGGTTGTGCCTCTTGAAGGGACCAGTGGTCCCTGGGATAGGAAGGGATGTGACAGCTGGGGCCCATCACCGGGTGAAGTGGCTGGTGCCCCGCATGGGGGTGGTGCGCCCAGTTGGAGCTCTTTTCCTACACTGGAGTGTGTGAGGGTCACCTGGGGACACAGTGTGGGGTGGGAGAGGGGTGTGGAGCTGGCCTGGGCAGTGAGGCTGGGTGGATCCCTACGTGGGCATTTCTCTGCACGGCCATCAGGGGGCAGCCTCTGCACGCAGGCCGGACAAGACAGCACTGCCTCCCCAGGGCCTTGGGCAAGGATGCAGACGGGCTCTCCCGGGGTCTGGGAGGATGTGTATGGCTGGCTCAGGAGGGCGGGCTTGGACTGGGTGGAAAGACAAGGACATGCAGCCCTTCCGGGCCTGCCAGGAAGAAATTTTGGCTGGAGAGGCCAGGACTGAATCTCCAGGACCCTTACTGGGAATGTATGTTCCACCTCCTGTGAAGGGGTCAGGAATCTATATGCTGGACAAGACCCCTGCTCTGAGGCAGCAGGTGTCCTACCACTACCCCACGGGAGTCACTGACCTAGGCACCTAAGGGCAGATAGTCTTGTAGGCTGGACACAAGGAGGCCAGAGAACCACCAAAGCCGAGCAGAGAACAAGGGTCTCACATGTGGGCAGGGACCCAGCACAGACCTCTGAGACAGAGAGGGCGAGGCCAGATGGTGGGTGAAATGGACCTTAGGGCCTACAGCCTGGGGGAGTCTCAGGCCCCTCCCCTCTCCCTGCCATGTGGTGGATCCCTCAACGTGGGCCAGGGCCAGCCACTGTCAGAGGAGGGAGCTGGGGGCTACCGCCCCACAGTGGCCATCATTCCCCTGGCGGCTGTCCAGGGAAACCAGGGCGCCTTGGCTCCCAACAGGGTGAGGGAGGCCTGAACAGGAGGCCAGCTGGGCCTCAGTGCTCCCCAGGCAAACGGGGAACAGGAGGGGTGTGTCCTGGCTAAGGGGCCCTGCCCTGTGCATCAGCAACATCATTGTCATCATCGATCTGTTGTCCCCAAGGAGTGGGGTCCAGCCTGTGCCAGTGCGGCTTGGCCCCAGCTCCCTAGCCGGCAGCTGGCCAGGTGTCCTGGGTGTGGTCAGGCTGCTGCATTACTGACCTGTGTCACAGACCCCGTAGCTGGAAGAACTGCACCTGCCCCACCCTGCTCTCCTAGATGCTGAGATACCCTGGAACCAGATGATAGAGCACCTGGTTCTCACTCTATGGCCAAAGGCACAGAGGGAGGCATACTGCCCCATGGGCAACACCCACCTTCCCTCGCCCAACGAGCGCTACAGCCTGAGCTCTGACCCCTCCCAGATCCCTCACCAAGCCCCAGACCTCAGGTCCATTCCCACCACAGCCACCACCTACTCGGTGACCCAGACGCACAGTAGCCAAATAGTGGACCCAGACCAGCCCAGCCTGGCCATCCTAGACCAAGACCAGCAGCTCCAACTCCACTCATCCCCAGAAGATGTCAGATGCCTGGGGCCCCACCACCCTCACACCCCGCTCACACGTGCGGCCCTCCCCAGGCGGCCCCCTCCACGGACAAGACAACTTTCCAGAGGGTTGCAGCAGGGGAACAGTGACAGAGGGAGAGACAGACATGGACAGTGAGTGACAGAGAAAGAGGCAGGGAGCGACAGAGTGAGTGGCAGATATGAATCAGCGACCTGGAGAGACAAAATGAGGGGTGGGAGGCCTAGGGACAGGTAAAAGGCCATTCGCGCAGGAGGAGGGAGGCAGAGACCCGAGCAGCCCCCGAGGCACACAGACGCGCGCGACACTGCGGGCCGGTCCGCGCGAGGTGCCCCCACCCTGGCCAGCATCGCAGCCTGGCTCGCGCCCCTGCATGAAGCCCACCCGCCCCAGGGGAGCGGGCTGCAGGCGGGGAGGACGCGCACCACTGCCGGGGGCTCCAGGCCAGGTGGGCAGCACCATGTGGAAGCAGTCGCACATTGTGGCGGCTGAGCGGTGCGGACCGGCGGGGGCCCGTCTCGTCCAGTCGCTGGTCCAGGTCCGGCGTGCGGGCGGCCGGGAGGCAGGCTGGCGCCACGCCGGTCCTCTGCTAGCCTGCGCTGACGCTGAGGTCCAGCCTCGGACTGCGGACAGAGCCCGCAGCAAGCTACTCAGCCACCCCCCGGGCCCCGCCCAGGCCCGCCCACCCCGCGTCCGGCCACTGCGGAGCGAGCGCGGGTGGTGCCGCCGGCCTCATTCAGCCTATTGGCTGCCTCGTCTCAGGCCCCGCCCCCTATCAGCAGACCTTGCCCAAGACCCGCCTCCACCAGGGAGGGTCTTGCGCTGCCTGGCCCGGGCGGTGCTCTCAGGCCACGCCCCCTAGGTTTGACCACCCGGCTGCGCAAGTCCCAGCTGCAGTCAGACCCCGCCCCACCCCTTCTGGCAGGCCAGCCACGCCCCTAATTGGCCCCGCCCAGAGCCCCCGACCCGGCTGCCCAGGGTCTAGAGAGTAGACTTTGGACCCCTGTAAGGGAGGGGTCTCCAGACTCGGCGCTGAAGTTTTAGGATGCGACACGCACCCGAAGTCTCACCTCCTAGTCCGGAGAGGGACTTTGTTGTCACAACCTGGGTGAGGGCGGCCTTGGGGGCAGTGGGGAAGGAGGCTGTGACTTGTGATCTGATCTTTGACCCCTGCCCTGGGGGCTCCGGTCTGGAAGTGCTCAATCCTGGGTTGCAAGGTTCAGCCCTGGAGCGGGGGCAGGTCCTGGAAGGCTGGGGCAGACTTTCCAGGGTGGGCAGTGCAGGCTACTGCCTCAGGAGAGCGGAACAGTGCTCTGGACAGAGGCAACGGAGGAGCGTGTGTGCAGAGAACGGGGACGAAGGACCGGAGGCCAGGTGCCCCGCTGAAAACCCCAGTGGGGCTGGGGGCAGTGGGGGCCGAGTGAGGACCACCCCGGTGCCTGGGGCAACTGCTAAAGGCAGGAGACCTTCAAGGGTGTGGGGGCTGGACCAGGGTGGCGCTGGAGGAGGGGTGTTTCAGAAGCTGGCAGAGGGGACTTGGTGAGAGCTGGGGCAGGACAGTCTGGGGGAGTGGGTGGGCAGTAGGCAGGCCCGGGAGAGTTCTGTTTCCAGGGAAGCAGGGAGTAAGCAGAGGCTCTGCCTGGTGTAAGGGCACCTTGTAGGTGCCAGTCCTGCTGGGGCGGGGGTGGAGAGCCTGGGCCAGAATAGACCCAGGGGATCACAGCCACCTACCAGGGGGGCCACTCCTTGGGGCTGGCAGGGAATGGTGCGGGGACGGACAGATGGGCACGCACACAAACTTCTCGAGCTTGACACACACAGAGACACACACACACACACTTGCCCCGACACACACACACAGATCTACTGGGACATGTCCCCTTGCACCCTGCGACAGGCACACACCTGCTGGGACACAAGTAGGTGTGCACACAGGTGCACACCATCCTGGGTGCCTCAGGGCGCACTGGACCAGCAGGGCCCTGGCTGGCCTGCGGCTGGATGACTCATGCTCCGTGGTTCCCGGTAGCCGGCTGCAGCCAGGCAGCCTTCCAGCAGCTGGTCCAACAGACGCACACGTCACTGCCACTGCCAGGAACAGGCCCTGGCCGCCTCTGCTGTCTCAGGCCTGTGGCATGATGAAGCACAGTCCTGTCCTTCAGGTGGGGACACGGGCATGGGTCTCACCCTTCCTGCCCTGGCGTCTTCTCCAGAGTAGGCAGCAAGTCCTGGGGCCCTGCTCTCAGCTCTCTTCCAGGAGGTCTGCCTCCTGGGGGACCTGCCGTGCTCTGCCCATCTAGGGGTCAAGTTCAGCCTCTGGTCAGGTTCATCATTGGTCCAGCCTCTTGTCAGGTTCATCACTGGTGTCAGCCTGCCCCTCTGCCACGGGTGTGGGATGCCACACGGGCGGCCTCAGGAGACCTTAGGGTTCAGCCCTGTGTCCCCTGCCCCATTCAGCCTGTGACCTTGGAGAAGTCGTAGGGACCCTGGGCCCCCACCCAAATGAGGTGGCCTCACTCCCAGTGACAAAGTGACATCTCCTGACTGTTGAGCATGATGCACAGGGGCCTGTGATGGCTGTACCCCACTCTGTGGGGAGCGGGTGCAGCCCTGGCCACGGACGATAAGGGCCGCCCTGCCTAAGCACGGGCAGGAAGGAGGGCCTCACATGGCCACTGGGAGGGTGCTGAGCCACACGCTGCTGGCCCCTGTGTCACCAGTGGTCCCTGGGACCCCTGGCCACCAAGGACCCGTGGGAGGCTAGGGCAGGGACCCTCCCTGGGACCACTTCTGTGCTTGGCCTGGGCGACGGCTCGGCAGACTCGTGCCACCCTGCTGGAGCCTTGCTCATGCTGCGACTGAGGAGTTGACTCAGCACTGGCTCGAGCTCCAGATTCAGCATGGGGGTGGGCAGGGACCCCCCCCCGGAGCTGTCCCTTCCCCTCTCGTGCTGGCTCTGAGGCAGGGACTTGCATAGCTGCTGTGCTCACCCCAATACCCCACATATCCCCTGGTGCCCCATGGGCCCATTTTATCTCTGGAGGGCTCTGAGCCCGTGGGCACTGTGCCCCACTGCATGTGGAGGCAGACCACCCAGAAGTCAGCTCTTGCCCCCAGGCCAGCCAGACAGGGATCTGCTTCCTCCTGCTGGACCCCTCCTCCTCTCCCGTTCCCACCCACAGGGGCCTGGAAGACCCAGCCTGGCCCCAGGATCACAGGCCCTGCAGGAGACAGCGGCCGGGGCAGGAACCAGGAAGCCCATCTGTGCCCCCTGCCTGCCCTGACCCCCAGCCTAGGCCTGGCCCTGTGCCTGCCAAAGAGCCCTGTGCTGCCAGGAGCTTCTGTCACCATGCCCAGATCCAGCCCCATACTAATGTCCCCCTCTGGGGACAGATGCCCTACTTCAGAAGACTACAGCATCTGGGCGTGGCTCAGAAATTGCTGTGTCCCCCTTCCCCCCCGGGCACTGAGACAGGGCCCAATCCACAGCCAGCCCCACATACACGAGGCCCCACACCACCCCTGGGCACCACTCGGGGGGCTGCAGTGGTTCAGCAGTGCTCTCTCCACCTGACACAGAGGACAATCACCTCCCCAGGACCACATGCCAGGGACTCTGGGGACCACTGGCCCAAGCTCCAGGCTTGCTTACAGCCTCCCCATGCCGGGATGCAGGAGCCAGGGTAAGAAGTCAGGGCTGCCAGCTGTGTTTCTGCAGCCCTGACTCTTGGGCAGGGGCCCTACCCTGCCCCCACCGCCTGGATGGGGCTCACCACCTCTCCAGGCAACACCGATGCCCAGAGCATCAATGATTGATGTTTCTTTGCGGCTGCCACAGCAGCATAAGCAAAAATAGCTCCTGCCACTGTCCCTGCCCTAGTCCGGCCCAGCCAGAGAGGCACAGTGGGGTGGGTGGGGCACCTGGACCCCCTCGTCTGCCACGTGCCTTCCACCCAGCCCTTCACATGTAAGGGTGGGGGAGAGCTCCGGGGCTGTTGTCCCCGGCCTCTGCCTCACTCTCCCCTAAGCTGAATGCCCACTCCTTACATGGGGAAATGCGTCCTCCTCCACCTACCCCAGGGACCAGGGTCTGAGGGCCCCACAGGAGGAGGACACCCAGTACTTCCTGGGGCAGGGACCCCTCCCCACCACGTACCAGGGATGCTGGGAGGCTCCAGGCTGCTGTGGGGCCCCGTCCTCCTGAGGCTGGGACATGGAAGGCTTGACTCCACAGCTGAGCCCACCCCACTCAGCAGGGCTGGGGCTCAGGTGGGGTGAGGCATCCCTCCCGACAAGGGCCCGGGAGGTTTCCATGGCCTTTCTCCTGACCACACTGTACCCACCCCCTCCTGGGGTGGGGTGGCCCTTTGGCAGTTGTGGCTTGGGTCCCTGTACCCCAACTTTAATGGGGACCTGCCTCTCTGCCCAATCTCCCCCAACTGATGAGGGCTTTTAACCCCGAGCCCCTGCCTGAGCTGCCCGTCTGCATGGAGGCCCGGCCTTCAGCTGGCACCCCACATTGTGCCCAGTCTGCCTATCTGGATGCTGACCTGAGGAACCAGGGCCACCTATCAACTACCTGGGCTGCAGTCAGCACCGGGCACCCAATGTCAGGGTCACCTCTGCTGCCTCTACTCAGAGCACCTCCCCAGCGGGGTCACCGGTGTGTGAGTGTCCTGTGGCCACTATGACAAATAACCACCCATGCAGTGGCTCAACCCCACACACATTCATGCTCTTACAGTTCCGGGTGGGGGTGGGGGCTCTGCTCCTTCTGGGGGTTCCGGGGGGGTCTGTGTCCTCGCCTTTATCAGCTCTTCGAGGCCCTGGGCCTTCCTCGGCACCCGGCCCACATCACTCCACCCTCTTCCCACCCTTTCTCAGACAATGACCCTCTGCCTCCCTGTGTTTTTAAATTAAATTTATTGGGGTGACATTGGTCAATAAAATTATATAGGTTTCAGGTGTGCAGTTCTTTAACACATTCTCTGTACGCTGTACTGTGTGCTCACCGCCCCAAGTCAAGCCTCCTTCCACCACCACTTTCTCACCCTTCACCCTTGTCTACCTCCCCCCACTTCTCTCATGTAGGACTCTCTAGATTCCACTGGGCTCCAAAGCATAACCAGGGACCATCTCCCCATTTCAGGAGCCATAACTTAATCCCGTCTGGGAAGGTTTCTTTACATGCAAGATCCCATGTTCACAGGTTCTGGGAGTCAGGAGGGGGACTTGCCTGGGATGCCAGGGAATGCTGTGTGCCTGGTCATGTCACCCTGCACCCCGAGGGTCACAGTGCTCACTCCCCACGAGGCCCGGACAGGGCGTGCGGGACGTCACAAGAGCTGGCTCCAGCCCCAGAAGCACTTCCTACCCAAGCCTTTGGGCCTGGGCCTCAACTTCCCTGCCTGCACCTGAGGACAACACTTCTACCCTTTCCAGCTCCCTGGACAGTGAGGACGGCAAGGACTGTGGACCACGGGTCCCAGCAGTGAGTAGGCAGCA